GTTACTTCGAACCTTTAGATTCATTCGTATCGGTTTCATGTTCTGGTTGGTACTGAGACAGTTTCAAACATCTGAAGCAGGCAGTGCAGCAATAGCTGGCTGGGAGAGTTAATGAACTTTTGGGTGAGACTGTACACTTGATCTGGACGCAGGATGCATTATTATGGAAAAGTGGTGTAAACTTTTATACTGTTCAAGTGTATGGTAAGGCTGAGCGTAGGGCTTAGGTTGTCCATATTTAATTTATTAATTTTTAGCTGTTGTTTGTATATATGTTGTATATATTGGAAGCATAATTTGATGTCTAATGGTAGTCCCTGCTGTCATGTGGCATCACAAAAATTGTGACCAAGTCCTAGGCCTATACATATCTCTAACTACATGGCAAATCATGAATGTCCTTGTTTGTATTATCCATAGTGTCTTTGGTCAGCATAGTTTGTATATAGAGTATGTGTTATATCACCCTATAGATAACATACTGTAGAGTGTACCTTCCTTAATCTATCACAAGTAAAAAGGTATGTTTATAATGTGCAGGGTACTCCCTCTTGACGTACCATACCCTGGGCGGGGCGTTCTTTGCACCGCCTGTCGACCACACCTGCCGTCCACCGACTGATGCCCACACTGCCACCGTCATCCTCCCACCTGTTACCGACCACAACATCACCAGCTACTCTCCTAAGGACACCCATCTAGCCACCGAGTAAGTCATCATATAACATGTATTATATTAAGTGAGTTTATCGTAAAGTACTGGTTTGGTTGGTGTTTATTGCTTTTTGGTTTGTTTTTTACACAAAAAATGATTAGGTTAAGTTACGTAACATTTTTTTCTGTATTAGAAATATGTTTTTTCCTATGGTTTTTTGATGAGTTTTGAATAATTTATGCCTTGTTCTCTATTGAAAATCACCAGTTACTATGATTTACTCAACAAAAAAATCAAATTTTCCAACATCTTCTCTTAAGGTTCTTGGGGTGGGGGGTGGGGGGGTATCTAAAAAAAGAGTGATTTCCGGCGGAAATGAATATCAAATTCGTTTGAAACTCATCAAAACCACAGGAAAAACATACTTTTAATATCCAAAGAAAGAACGGTGCACTTCTATAAATTTGCCTTATACAGTATTCTTAAACCTATATTAGAGGAATATATAAAGATTAAAATATACGGACAATAATGATTTGTGTTGTTCATTTAATTTAAAGATTGTAGAATCTTTTCCTTCTTAATCGAGTTTTAAAATAATGAACAACACAAGGATTGCTATAGTGAATTATGGATTTATAACTAAGCAATTGTGGCTGATGTATTGCAATAAACTATATAATTATTTCTCAACAAATCTGAGTAAAATAATATCATACAAAGTTTTAATATTTAATATGCATCCTTTGTTCTTCTTCAGTGCCAGCTGTAGTTACTTGGTACAGGATCCTGCTACAGGGAACCTGAAGGAGGAGGCATGCACTGACTGGGTCTTCGACAACTCTACTTTCATTTACACGGTTACTTCTGAGGTGAGTACAGGGTGAGTCCTCCGTCTAAAGTTCAGATTTGTTGTTTGTCATGAGCATACAGTAATAACAGGTGTGTGGATTTCTCATGGCCATAACAATATGCAGCTGTTTTTACCGCACTATATGAAATATTACTCAAAGGTTTTCTTTCCTGTCAGTGCATGTCATGTGAAGTGTTGGTGATGAACAACCAAGGGATAAGAGTTATGAGCTGTAATTGTTGATCGAAAATCTAGTTTGGTTAACTGGATGTTAGTAGGATCACTGCCAGCATCACTGTCATCTAACAGGGTGTCACTGGATAATCTATATTCAGTTGAGACTTAGCGTGTAGAACATTATAATCTGCAATATTCAGGCACTGTTTGCATGTCAGTAAGCGCTTTGTTTCCTGTTATTACCTCGTGATGCAGACACCGATAAAAATGTCAGTTTTTTATGTCTAAATTTCAGAATAAAATCATATGTACTGAAATATTTGTATTCATGAGGTCTGCTATTATAATGATAAAAATATATTTCACTACAGGTGAATATTGATGGAAGCAATTGTTTTTCTGGCAACCTGTACATTCTGTAACCTTCATTGAAAATAATTTAAATAGGAATTTGAATTCATGATTTCATAAATCTATTTACTCTGTAAGAAGGGAGATACAGTACTCGCAAATAGAGTAATTTGTTATGACACTGAATTGTACACTGTATTAAAGTCATGCTGAAGGTTGCGAGGATCTAAGGATCCTCACAGTGCTGCTGAGGGGGATTATACTGAAGAGAAATAATGTATTACATAAAATCTCTTACAGTTCCAGTTGGTGTGTGACAGGAAGTACCTCCGGGCAACTTACCAGAGCATGTACATGTTTGGTGTACTAGTAGGAGCTGGCTTCAATGGATTCCTGGCGGACAGGTAAGTTGCTTGTCACTGATATACTGTATTACATCTGAGTGTGTGTGTGTTTGTGTGTGTCAAGCAGTAGACACTCGTCTGCCCTTTTTCATAGTCTTATACACTCTATTGTTGATTTTGTAGATACAGTGATATCTCCGTTAGCCGGAACAATTGGTGCAGAGCACTTTCGGGAATGAGAAATTTCCGGGTAACGAGACGACTCTCTCGAACTCGGAAAAATATCCCCCCATCCCCGGAATTTTCCTGGTATCGGGAAAATTTTCTCATATTTTTCCGGAAAATTTGTCCCTCGGAAAATCGTTCCCAAAGTCGGAATTTTTCTGGACAATTCCGGCTTTGGGAACGATTTTCCGAGAATTTCAATTCCGGCTATTGGAGAGTTCCGGGTTTGAGGGATTCCGACTATCGGAGATATTTCTGTATTCCAATGTTTACTTAATTTTTACGTTGGAGTTTGGGTTTATGCCTTGTAATTTCATGGAACAAAGACTTCTTTTTTATTTGAGTCAGTGTGGAAACTTCCTGAGTTCCTCACCATTTCACAAGGACCTGTTCTAAAGGACATGACATAAGGCTCTGGAATTCGATGGACAGTGTTTTTACTGGGGAGTTTGTAAGGTCGGTGTGATTAGATATATATCCTTCTGGTATGGTTAGCTAGCTGCAGATACACAAGCCGCCTCGTAGTGGGCATTATATCAAGTGGGAGATGCCCTTCATTCAACTGAAAGTCAACTGGAACTAAACTGGGAACTTGAAAATCAAGCCCATTTAGCTGAGGTATTGCACCACTAGTATTGGGTTTTTTTATTTATATTTATTTTTTATCTCCTTATCCCACTATTTTTTAACTCATTTCCCCCTTTCTTTCTACTTTCTTCTCTTCCTTTCTTTCTTAATTGGTTCTCTCTTCAAACCTTTTCTTTCAATTTCTTACTTTATTAATCTCTTATGCTAGTTGTTTCTTATTTACTTTCTTCTCACAGATACCCCCTAACCTCTTATCTATCCGAAATTATCATTTCTAATCCCACAGTCACATTGATTGTTCCAGGGAGGGATGAACTAGTTGTAAAATACCCTGTAGTTCCTAGCCGCTGAAAGCCAAGGACAACTAAGCACATGTAAGTCGTCTACCTATATACTGGTTTGTTAGAAAATGGGATCTCAAAATCCATCCTCTACATATACTGCCAGACTGGGGGTCACTAATTCTAAGGGGGAACACTTAACTCTAATCTTAATTTCTAAGGGTCGCTGCCACCAGATCCCCTCTGGACAGCATGTAGCTTGTTAGGTAGCGTGTAGAGTAGACTAGGCATTGGGTTAGGTTTTCCATTGACCAGATCGATAAGGGGCAAGAAGGGTGAAACCATAACATGTCTTAATTAATTTAATCCTTATAAAGCATACTGGTAAAAAACATACAAATGAATTGGTCTTCCTCGGAAGAACAACGAAAATGTTGGTTACCCAGATGGGCACCAGACGTCTTACATTAATGGCGTGTCATCCACATACTTATTGCATAACAATCTGTGACCACCTTACCTCGGTCATTCCTTCTTACACTATCCCTTAACACATCATACTGCTCCACCTGTATGGAATATAGCACCGTCGGTTATCATACATAGTAGCACCATCTCCACACACATGTTACTCCACCCCTGCAGGTATGGGACTCCTTGTAACTTTTAGGTATACACAACAGGCACCTCGTTCGCACACCGCCCTCGGTGGGTAAAGACGAGGGCTTCACCAAGAGACATACCAGTACTATTTCTACTCCTGGTATTATAGGCCGCTCCAAGTGACGGCCGCAGAGTTTCTCACGGTCTCCTTATTTGTTACTACCCATTTGGAGTGGTGTGCTGGAAATCCACAGGTTCACAGTGGATTGGCATAGCTGGGAGTAGTCACCACCTGTTGGGACGCTCATGGGGATAATGGCTGCCGCGCAGCAAGGCACTCCGACCGCATGGGACGGTAGAACGAAAGGGACTGAGAAATAATGCCTGACGGGCGGTTATCACACCCCCTGACATACTTATACATCAGGCAAAGCTTTAAACTGTAATAACTTCTATATAAGCCTTAATTATAGGGCGGGATATAGCCCGATAGGACACTGACCTGAGGTGACGGTAGAACGAAAGGGACTGAGTGCAGTGCCCCGCCGCTCGTCACCGCGTAGGCCTACAGTTTCCAATCTTTAATATTTACTTTTATTTCTTACGGTTCTCACCTCAACACTTTTCGGCATATTGTCACTCAGGCCTTATAAACACATATCTTAATCCTAAATTACACACTAAGGTAAGGGTCTGGTTTGCTAGTTCCTGGGTAAATTCATTGGGTTATAATATCAACGCGGCACACCCGAGGCGGCCTAGGCGCCAACCCAAACAAAGCCTAGCATCGTATTTTCATGGCGTCGGTATACAAGATATTCTTTTTGAAGCATAGTTTCTAGATCACTTCCAACACTTCACACAGTTCTGATACTTTATCCTTTTTCCAGATCATTGTTCTCATGTATTTTCATATGATATCTGTGGAAGTTATGTTCGCTACACGTTCACAGACGTAAATAGTATGACCTTCAAACCATGATCCACACTTAGTCTTACAGTACACTAGCCCGGCTCAACTGGACTTTCCCAATCATCTTATGGATACCCTGAATTCTCCTTAATGCTATGAATACATACAATTAACATTATATAACTGTACCTGGGTACAATACAACACATGGTCTAGTAACATTGAGTAGGTGAGTTATCTTTTAACAATGTTTCCCATTTTCTGAGATTCTACAAGCGCTGTGGATTTGAATGTTATATAGCGTAATATGAATTAAATGGGGTTTTTAGGAATGACAATGATGTGCGCAGTACATACATACACTGCACAGATTCCTACACATTTAGCTCATGTATCACTTCATATTGTGCTGATGTCACTTTTTTTTTTACTTAATTCAGATAAACATTGTAGCTTTCTATCAAATTCGAATAAGAAATTAAGGACACTGTCAACATGCAACTGATTATTTCAACACAAATTATTCTAATTATCTCAGGTTCGGCCGCTTGACAATGATTACCATAGCGTCCATCGCATATACCATCATCAGTGTGGGTTCTGCCTGGTTGCCTACCTTATCTACACTCATAGCTGCGCGCTTCCTGCTGGGCATAATGCACCCAACATCTCTACAAACTGGCTACATCCTCAGTAAGTGACGGTGTTATTGTGATGATCAAGCTATTCTTTTCAACTTCTTTATCATAGTTTGTGGAATAATGTAATTTAAGTTTCGGGCAAATATTATGAAGATCAACATATTATCTTTCAGATTGAAGAAATAATGTCGTTACATTTATACCTACTTCAATCCATTGTAGAAAAATTCTTAAATTCCATTTTATATTTGGTGTTTATATTTAACAGAGCCCCAGACTGTGCCATTGCCTTAACAAAAATGGATTGTGTTGGCCTCATACTGTATATTCTGGCTGACTTCAAACTATGTCGTTTAAGATGAGTAAAATTTCTTGTAGCATAAAAGATCATAGACAAAGTAATAAATTCTTTTCACTGATACTAATATTTAGAACTGCGTTGTTTCCGCTAAGACCTACTGGTTTAGGTACTGATAAAATGGAGGAAATGCACTTAGCTCTCAACTTGATATGGATGTAAGTAGGGAGCGGACCGTTCAGTCAGGTGAATTGGCTGGAACTGAGGTGTTGTACTGTGCCTCTGGTTCTACTCTCTTTTTTAAGTTCAACGATTACTATAGAGAGCAATGATCTAAACAACAAAACCAACACATTATTTGAGTTGCCAGGCTCATGTCTAGTCCAATCACAAGAATACATATTTTTCCCAATAGATGTCCTTGTCAACAGTGATTTAACCGAACCAGTAAGTACATGGGTAAACCCTCTAAGCTTCCATTTATCTCAGTCATCGTTCACACACATAACAAAAACTAATATAATAATATCATAAAGGGAAGTAAGAGAAAAAAATAAGACATCTTTTGAGTATATTTTTGGACTGACAGAGGAAAGGGGATGATGGGACTTATGAGACCCGCTGTCCAGGAGTGGTGCAAAGCTCAAGGCGGATACTCAATGGATTGTCAGTTTGTTGGTCCTGTTGATTGGGTGGTTGTTTGGGCAATACCTCGGGCACTCTTTGAGTTAGAATGCCGAAATTTGAACACAATAGTAACCAATTACTTTGTCAAAAAAAAAAAAAATCTGTACATTTTGACTTATATTATGTACAGCCTCTATTCCGGGGTTATGTACGTTGAACTCATTGCCACCATTGTATTTCAGTAATGGAGGTAACAGAAATGAAGATGAGGTCACGGATTGGCATTCTGCAGTTCATTTCGTGGACGGCGGGCACGATGCTCTGGGGCGGGTGGGCATACCTGGTGAGGAACTGGCGATGGTTGCAGACGATGGTGTCTCTGCCTTGTCTCTTGTTCCTCCCTGCATTGTGGTGAGTATTACTGATTAGAATTACATCTGTACACCCATTTTTAGTCATTTTTTCTCTCCTGTGCATCAAGATTTTTGTACATTATCAATGAACAAACAGTTATTTATGTCAGATTCAATTGATAGACATTTAACTCTACCATAATGTTGGCTGCCACAGACAAAGTTAATATATCTAATGTAATCTAGACATCTGAACATGCAGTTACTGCCTACTACTAACAACGTATTCATCAACCATGTTTACATACAGTATTTCCTAAATGTTAGAAACGTTTTTCCCTTTTCAACTCTCCAGACTTTTGCTAGAGCACCATATGCTTGTAACTTTTACTGTAACACTATATGCTTTTAATTTTTGCTGTAGTACAATGTGCTTCTATGGTGCTGTAATTGTAACCATATACAAACACCCTAATGAATGTATCGAATATTTTCAAATAATTTTATATAAATTTAATTTCAACTACCAAAAACAATTGGCCAGTGAATTTCAGTTTTGTCATTTAAGATCCGCAGAGTATCCACCATCTCTGCATTTTGTAATGATACAAACAACTTTATCATTACTAAGCTCACCATAACTAAACTAAAACGAGAAGTTGAAAAGTCAGCCGTTATGTCTAGCGTAATAGTGTCCGATAAAACAGAATATCCCATGTTGTCATAGTTACTTAACTGCAGCTAAACTGAAGCTTACTCCTCAAACTTTACAGAATTATCACAAAGCTCGTAAGAATTTCGATTACAATGGAGAAATTAATTGATGAAATTCACCATCAGCACTGGACTCCTATAGTAATATCTCTTTAGAATTGTAATGAACACATTTGTCTAGTCATATAATAATAATGGTTGCCCCTCGTGTATCGAGGATGGCAGGCCCAAGGGCCACCTAGGTGTGAATTTGTTTGAGGTGTAGAAGCTGTCGCTAACACAACAACCACACCCTGAGTTAACGAGTTGCATGACCTAGTGTCAAGGAATAGTCCGAGAAGACTGGACAACTCGCCAACTGCACTGGCCAACCATTACCCCGGAACACGATCCGCAAATCGATTCACATCCAGATTCCCAATTACTGCTGGATAGACAGAGGCAAATGGTGTAAAGAAACTTGCCCATAGTTTCACCCTGCCTGGAGATCTAACCCGGGTCCGCTCGCTTGCGAGGCGAGCATGCTGACCATTACACCACAGGCCGCCAATCTAGTCATATAAAGAATATATCGCATACAATATTGTCTAAGACATATCTAAGAGAATAATATAATCGTACAAGAAACATGTTAAATATGGTTAGAAAAAAGGCTTTGTTCATATTATGATCGTCGATTCAATAAATGTAAAAACTACACGACAGCCATTTGAAAGTTAATTAATAATTTGTAAAGTCACGTCTCTCGAAACATTTAATATTGGTGTTTGTCGGCATATTGGTTACTGATCCCAAAAGATATCTAACAGAATACTGAGCGTGGAGGTGGCCATTATACGGAGGATGGAAGTGGTCAGGATATTAAGAATGGAGGTGGCCAGGATAATGAGGATGGAGGTGGCCATGATGCTGAGGATGGAAGTATGTAGGATAATGATCGTGGTGCTGCCGGCAGGATATTGGAGGAGTCCCCGCGGTGGTTGGTGGTGCGTGGGCATCATGACCGGGCTCTTCGGGTGTTGCAGAAGGCAGCTGCTTGGAATAACGCGAGTCTTCCGCCCTCACAGGAACTACTGAGTATCATGAAGGAAATAGAGTTGAAGGTAATGTCTAAACTCCAGCACATTTACTTGGTGTGTGTGTGTGTGTGTGTGTAGTCTATACGAGCAAACTTTAGAATCTTTCGTAAGCTTTAAGTAACGTCTGTAACTCGTACCTTTTTGTAATAATGTTTATATTGAGTAATCCTTAATTTATTTCTTAATTTGTGTGTCAACGAGAAGCTGTAGCTGTCGAGGAACAAGATAGTATTATTTTTTATTATGTATTAAGGGATGGTCACCCTACAGGCTATGATAATCGAAGTACAGTGGTTATAGAATCTAGAAAGTTACTTACAGAAATTAATGACCCAAAACTTCTACTCCTCAGAGAGCTACTACCAAAAAGTCATAAGGCTAGGCACCAAGAGCCAGAACATTGGACACTACACAAACGTTCTCACTGAATATTTTCACTGGTCTGTATAGTGATCTTATATCACTCTTGAAGATGTTATGATAGAATTAAAATATTTAAAAAGAGAGAGAAATATTGTACATAGAACTTATCCCTAATCGGTAATTATCACTAATCAGTGCGACAAACACACACAAACATGAAATGGGGAGAAAATTAAGTATTAGAAGGGAAATAAAGCGGTGTGGGGCGTAGGCATGTTAGAGAAGTCATGGTCTGTCTTTGTGGGAAAAGGACTACAGTACTTGCAAACTTAGACGTAATGTGAGTGGGAACCAACGGTTGAGTCTAACACCATGTAATACTCAGCTGTGTATGGTTACCACCTATAGTGTTTGTGGTACTGCTTTTTATCCCTCCACGGTATAACTGAAAGACGTGTGAGGAGTTTTTTATTTTAATGACAGTATTGTATTAACCTTGTAATTTCTGTAAAAGTCAGCGTCCAGCAGTAGCAACGACGCTGAGAAGACGGTGATGGATAGGGTACAAGGGCTGCTGGCCCGTCTTGTCATTCTCTTCAGGTAAGTTAGTATTCAGCTCAGTATTATTAGGTTCAAAAGACATCTTATACTTATAACTCGTAAAGTACAGGTTATCTTAGCTCCTAAAAATGACAATACAATTTCTCTTATATTAATACCATGAATTGATTTATATTGGATGAAGTTGTTATTACAGACACAATGGTGAGTTCATGTTATGCTGTCCTTCAACAATCTTCTACATTCTTTACCAGTGAGACAGCAAAAAAACATATATTATAATTTGTTTAGGTTTAAAATTGTTTACGTACATTTAAATAAGCATTTCACCCGGACCTTTGACACCAAGGAAAATTGTTGACTGAACCTTCACAAATAGTAAGAGAGTAACTCTGCTCTAGACATTATATAATGTCTTGCCACTCAGGGAAACCCCGCATTAACTTAGTCTTGAATTAGTGGGACCTCGGTATGACATGGGTACTTGACGCTTGGTGGAATAAAATATCCGCGTTATATGTAAGTCAGTGGAACCAAATATTATTATAACCTGCCTTCTTACACAACCTGGCATTAATTATTATAATTATCTTTCTCAGGACAAGAAAGCTACGAATCATCACTTTGGTCATGTTAATACAATACTTCGTCGTGGCTATGATCTCTTTTGGCCTTACGCTGGGAGCAGGTACTTTCAACGTTAACCCTTTCCTCTACATGACCATCGCGGGTATTATGGAGCTACCAGGAACCACGTTACTGATTCCCTTGATAAGTACCTACGGGCGGAAGAAAGTCACTACTATCAGCTTCGCATTGTGTGCTATTTCCTTAATGACTGAACCACTTCCATCCAAAGGTCAGTATAGTATTTCCTACCTGAGATTTTCTTGTTTTGCAGTATGTTTAAGCTGATATACAACAGCAGTGACATTCCACTAATAGTCATAGATACATATATTATAACAATAAAAGGTCGTATCTGTCTATGACTGTGCCAGTCTGTGTGTGTGTGTGTGTGTGTGCGCGTTGCAGCCATAGCTCCAAACGGAAGCATTCAGAGACCTGAAACTTTACTAACATATTACATGGTGTAGATTAATATAATCTTTTTCTTTTCTATTTTTAATTTCATTTTACTTTTATTTTTTCGGTGACCTATGACCAGGTGGGCTATTCCCCGTAAAAAAAAAATACAATAAAAAATAAACTTGGGTCCCAAGGCTGTGTACCCTGGTATTGACCACAGACCCTCGGGTGTCTGTCTGTCTGGGAGTTTCTGTGTGTGATCTAGCCATAGCTCCAAAACAATAGCAGTTACAGACCTGCAACTTTGCACATATATTACAAGGGTCCTAAGGTCACCTTGGTATTACTGTTGACCACGGACCCCGGGTGGCCCGGAGAAGAACCAAAAGTCTTCCCTGATATATATATTTATCCATCCGGAGTTGACAATCCATCCTTCATATTGAATGGCAGGCCAACCAGTCTTCCATCATCAGTCGGTGACCCAGATGTGGCAAGCTGTCAGTTGTGCTAAGCAAGTGTATCAAAGCTTATCAGAGGCACAACTCTCCCATGTATTCATCTACCTTCTGGGCTCGTTTCTGTATTTTAGAATTGAATTCAAGTTCGATTTTAAGTAGTTAAGATACCATAAGTTGAATAAAAATTTCAGGTCCTTCACATTATGTACTATAAGTGATGTTAAAAGCTGTCTTTTTAACATATGTTGTTTTTCAGATTATAAATGGCTGTCAGTCACATTGGTCATGGTGGGAAAGATGACCAGCAGCTGTGCATTTAGCGCCGTATTCCTCTACGCTTCCGAACTCTTCCCTACCGAGATACGCACTCAGGGAATGAGCTCTGCCATGATGTCCTCGCGTGCTGGTGCCATAATAGCCCCCTTCCTTATGAGTGCCTTGGTGAGACTCTTCTCTCTTAATCATTAGTGCCGTCGTGAATATCTTGCTTTCTCTGAGTCAAAGATTAGATTATATCATAAACAGAAGACTTTCGTTTTATATAAATAGTTGGTTTTCCATCCGCTCTAAGTATTACCAGCAAAATGTAACATACACGGATGTGAGTCGATACATATATTATACCTTGTATATAGATCTGAAGATACAAAACTTTTGAAACTTTTGAAACTTTATAAAACTAGAATCAGCCACAGGGCTTTAATCACTCCCTTGATATATATATATATATATATATATATATATATATATATATATATATATATATATATATATAATATTTTATATTCCCAGAATTCAACGTTTCCCTGGGCAATTACGGTAGTGTTTGGGGCGTTGTCATTAGTGGCCGCCGTGTCATCATTCCCTCTGCCAGAGACTCTCAACACTGACCTGCCAGACACCATCACCGACCTGGAGGGCAAACGCAGCATTACATCAAAGTGAGATTTATTTATAAGTGAAATGTTAGAACCTGTCCCCGGCGTGGAAGGTAGACGACGAACATTAGCGATATTTCCGTATTATGGCCATATTCCACAAACATATATTTTACAGGCATTCCTCCACTACCAGGAGGGTAACTCTCCTGAACAGTTGTCTGTAACTCAACATTCTGTAATTATAAATCTATTTTCCTATTGACTTCCATTATATACAGTAACTGGAGCTGCGGTCCTACGGGAACAACTGTCTCACCTCACATGTATTAAAAGAACTTAAAAATATCTCTAAATGCAAAAGTTACATTCATGGAAAAATAATTTTAGTATACAGTAAATTATGTACCAGTTAGATATTACTTCTGTTTTATTGAAGAAATGAAAGGCCTATTTTTTAAAACATGACCCGTGATCAGGTTGTATTTGGGAGACTAGTTCTGAATGGAGCCTTCTTAGTCGCAGCATAATTTAAGAGCATATTCCATCACTTCATTAAATTAACTATTTAGTACACAACCTGGTGTAGTTGAGACTGGTAACAGTGGCTGTATCTTTACTCATTTTATTACATGTAATATTTTCAGCTATCATTATATTTTCAGTTCATGATATGACAGATGATTTATTGATCTATATGTTGAGATTGTTTTGTGGTCTGGCGTTGAGACCGGAAAAAGACTATTGGGTCCGTGTCCAGGTGTCAGTGGGAGACGCCCAGATAGATATAAATAGTACACCTCTTCAGTGACTTTTTTCCTATTTCCTTCACTGAAGAAACACATCACGTATTTTCAAGACGTGGATGACATTCAGAGTAGCACGACGGCAGCTATAAAAGCTATTACAGAAAGTGAGTTCTACAAATGTTTCCAGGGATGGAAGGAACGCTGGCGTTCGTTTGCTATAGTATCGTAAGGGGAATACTTTGAAGGGGACCTCAGCGCCGATCCTCGGTAAGGTACATACCGGCGCCTGTAGCATGCGTTCGCGAACTTGGGAAGTGGCAGTTCACTCTTACTCATGGAACTTGTTTTGGTCGAGAAAATTAAATAATATTGCGGGCATGGGCAAATTTATTTAAGCCTCATCCCGCATGATCGAGCATGACTAATAGATCCTGCGGTCACGTATAAGAGTACATGATCTAAGTGGCGACCTGTTGCGTAACGATCGGCATCTCGCCTCACAAGAAAGATAAATCCAGGTTCATTTCTCGGGCAGGGGGACACTACAGGCAAGTTTCTTTATGCCATTTACATCTGTATACTCCGCAGCATTTGGGCTGGATGTTAACTAGTTTGCGGATCGTGTTCCGGGGTAATGGTTAGCCAGCCATACAGTTGGTGAATTTTCCGGCTTTCTTGGGTTATTTCTTGATACTGGTCATACAGCTCGTAATCTTAGGGTGTGGTTGTTATGATAGTGACAGTTTCGACATAAAATCTAGACGTCGCATTCTGGACTTTATCTCAAAACTGTTTTTTTTTTTTTTAGAAAAAAAACATTTTTTTTATGTTAACTAAACTTTGATTTATTAAAAGACACAATTTATGTCAAATAATTTAAATTATAGTTATCATAAGTTGGAGATGAATATATTGTACATCTTAATAGATCAACCATTGGTGATAACCTCCTCGGAGCTGTGAGCGGTCTAGAATTATAAATGTTCCTCGTAGAATTTGTTCTTATTCCTAATGTTTTTTTTTCAAACAGGAAGGACACCAACAGTGGCCCTGATACCAGGGTTACTACTTGCTGACTTACTGACCACTAGGAGCATGTTTGTCAGCAGTAACGCAAACAATCTCAGCAGTGTTTAGCTTACACTTACATCTTCAACAAGAGTGACACTGAGCGTTGAAGTCTCTTTGGGAAGTCTTCTGATATTATGATAATGGACGTTACCAAAATTTATTGCTGTTTGAGGATATGACTGAAAAATTAGAAAATAATAAACAAACAAAATTAAATTAAAGAGATGGTTGGTGGGAGAAGTTAATCCCCATATAGAGTATAGCCAGGAGGACCCCTTCTGTTATCCCTGTAAGGCGTTGGTTCCCTGAGGCACAAGGGTGGTGGTACTTACGTCGTCATCAGTGTGAGTTCATTCAAGACCAGACATGATCAACACTGGTACAGGTACTTGATAATAGTGTGCAACAGACGTGACCGACCGCGCAAACGACAAACAGGCTGCTAAGTGGAGAAGAGGTTAAATTATCAGTATAAAAGTAAACAAACTTGGCAACCATGATGCATATAATGTCAAATGAGAACAACAATTCATAAATGTTTTTTTCTGGCGCTGACAGGTCCATTACCAATTCATAAGTGAAAAAAATCAAACTTATGTATCAAGTTATGAATAAGAAACAATGATCTGTAATGGCTTGTGCTAATTTTAACATTTGGCAATATCTTCGTAAATATATTTTTAATTTGCTTGGAAGTTTTTGGATTTTTTAATAAATATATATTTTTATAATTTGATTTTTTGTATCATAGTTTTTAACCAATTTCACTTACAGATTTTTTTAAATTATCAAAAAATATAATTTTTTAGAAAAATATCTGAAATGTTTAGAAAAATGTTCCACAATTAAATAAAAGATCTGATTTTTCCAGAAGCCATCAAAAGGATTTGCAGATGTGTTCATTTTTTTCGAGAATTTGCAGAAATATTTAAGAAATTTTCAGAAAAGGAGGAATTTATGAAAACTTTTAGATTTTTGGGGTAAAAAAAAATATATTTTGATAAAGAAGCATGGATTGTTAAACAGTAATACAGATTTATACAGAAGAAAAACAGGAATAATGGGTAATAAATTATTGAGAAGATTTATGATGGACAATAAAAACGAGTGATTGGAAGAATAACGATGATAAGTTCTGTGTGGCGAAGAGGTGGCAACTAGCAGACCTACTGTTAGGGTAGAGGAGGGACAACGGGAACGTTTCGAGCGCAGGAACAACGTAATAATTTATGGAGTCCCTGAGAGCCAGTCGGAGGAAGCTGAGAGTAGGAAAACACACAATAAGTTGCAATTTGAGAATATTTGTAGAAAGGTTTGAAAATCACCCCCCCCCCCCTTCAGGATGTGAGGAGGCTTGGACAAAAGCAGGAGGATAAGCCTTGCCCCCTCAGGATCCCACTAGTGAGTGAGGAGGAGAAATGGGAAGATATTCGGTAGGCAAAAAACTTAGCAAGGAGAGAGGCATCTCGGAATATATTAATTCACCCAGAGAGCAGCACAAGAAGGTCCTACAGGGCTTGAAGCAGAGGAGTCGAGGAGGAATCGGGACGGGTGTACATGGGCTATATCCAGGGGGAGGGTGGTGGAAGCAAGAGTGCCAGCACAGAGCCAGGGGGCAGCGGTACATCCCCCCACCCGTTCTACTTCCCACCCAGGAGGAGGCGACCGCCATGCAAACACTGACATTTCTGACTACACCCCTCAAAATACAGCGTATTTAGCGAATGCTGCAGCTGCTGAGAATGGAGGGGCCCGGAGTCACTACCAAGAGCAGAGATGTTACCGAGAACAAATTCCTGCTTGAATGTGCAGGTGGGGGTCGATATGCTCCGAAATTTTACGTGTGGTTAGTGACAGCCCTCGTATACCCAAATTTATCGTCCATGGTCTCATATTGTTTCCCACAAAGTAGGCACAGATAGTTGTTTTATCTACTGTAAACTAATACTGACACATTCCTTGATAAGACAGAAGAGCTTGAAACACTACTGAAGGTACACCAACTCGATATAGTAGGAGTTGTAGAACTGTTGTACAAGAACAGGAGAATCGACCCAGATGAATGTGAGTTCAGTATTGACGGATATGGCTTATTTACGAACCTTTCTCAAGAAACTTGCAAGAGAGGTTTGGTTATCCATGCTAGGCAAGACCTTAGAGCTAGCCAGGTCAGGGTACAGGGAGAGGTTGTTTTTGAAGAATCCAAGTGGTGTAAAATTAAATTAAAGGTAGGGGACTTACTTATATTCGGGTGTATTTAAAGATCTCCAAACTGTAGCTTCCTAAACCAAAGGAACTTGAGGTCTTTAATAGACAATGCAGCAATGCTCAACCCTATCCACCTGCTTATCATGGGGGACTTTAACTAAGGCGACATCGACTGGAAAAATGAGTTCACGCCAAATGACTCTTTTTATAGAAACTCTGAGAGATAATTTTCTGTTCCAACATGTTAAGGACCTAACGCATTACAGAGAGGGGCAAACACCCAAGCCACTGGACCTCATCATAACAAACGAGGAAGGTATGCTGGCCAAATTGGAACATCTAGCCCTAGTTGGCACCAACCACCATGTAAAGTTGCCCTTCAGATATAACTGTTACTTAGTTCACGACAAAATCAGGACAAGGTGCAAATATTACAAGGAAAATAACGACGGGATGAGGGAGGAGATGAGGGGTATTCACTGGCCTGACTCACAAGGTATAAGGATGCAGACACTACACTGAATATCATAGCCAGTAAAGTAACCCATTTCATCGAGAAATATATACCCAAGACCAAACCCAGTATCTCTAGGAATACAAGGAGACCCCTACACATGAACCATGCGACGGGCAACAAAGTTAAGAAGAAAACTCAGAAACTCAAGGCGTGGGTAAAGTCAAACGATGAGCAGGACAGGAGACTGTATTCAAGATCCAGGAACAAAGAAAAGTCAGTGTAGAAAGGCTGAAAAGGGGTTCCAGAGGCTGGTTGCAGGTGAGGTCAAGTCAAATCCAAATGCGTTTTACCACTATACAAAGTCGAAATTAAAAACGCGCGTAGAAGTATCGGACCTGAGGCTTGAAGATGGTAGTTGCGCAGATTCTGACCAGGACAAAGCTGAGGCATTGAACAGTTTCTTTTCCTCTGATGTTCACAAGACAGGATGTGAACAATCATCCTGCGTTTGAGGACAGACGGTTCGACACATCACTGACCCACATTGTGTTCACAGAAGAGGTTATAAAAAATAAACTGTCAAAGCTAAAGGTTCATGAGAGTCCAGGCCCTGATATGGTGCATCCTAGAGTGCTAAGAAAGTTGTGCATCGAGCTTGCTGAGTTCCTGAAGATCCTTTTCTGTAAATGCCTTGATGAGCAAAAGGTCCCCAGTGATTGGAAAATGGCTTTTGTGAGTCCTATCTTCAAGAAGGGCGATCGTCACTCCTCGAATAACTATAGACCGGTGAGCCTGAAGAGCATAGTATGTAAAGTACTTGAGAGCATTATAAGAGATGTCGTGATAGAACATCTACTACGAAGCAACCTTGTAAAGGATTCCCGACACGTTTTTTTGCTGGGACGCTCCTGCTTAACACAATTACTTGAGGTACTGGATGTTTGGGCCCAAATTCTGGAGCAAGGTGGTAATATGGACAATATATACCTAGATTTTGCCGAGGCTTTCTACAGCGTACCACATGAAAGGATGAAATTTAAACTGGAAGGGTATGGGATTCGGGGAAATGTCCTCGAGTGGATTGTAGACTTTCTCCATGACCGCAAGCAGTGTGTGGTGAATAGTGTCACAAAATCATAACGTGTACCCGTCACAAGCGGAGTACCACAGGGCAGTGTATTGGCTCCGCTGTTGTTTGTTTGCTTCACATATGACATGCCAGATGCGGTACATTTCTCCATACAAATTTTTGCAGATGACGCCATATTTTTTCGGGAAATTAAAAACTAAGCAGACTGTGAAGAGCTGCAGAAGGATTTCTGTGAGCTTCAAGAATGGTCAAAGAAATGGCTGCTAAGATTCAATGTCGTGAAGTGTAAGAGGCTGCACCTGGGGCGTACCAACGGTAAGGAGGCGTATCATATGTCCAAACAGGATGAAGAAACTGCATTAATTGAGACTGAATGTGAAGAAGGTGAATCAGGCAACTAAATTATTAGGTCTTATAAGGACCGTCCCTCGTAACGATCTTCAAGAGAGAGGTGCTTCCCCACCTGGAGTACTGTCACCCAGCCTGGGGGACACACTCACATTCCCTACAGCCCTGACCTCCTGGGGGACACACACACACATGCCCTAGAGCCCTGACCTCCTGGGGGACACACACACATTCCCTACAGCCCTGACCTCTTGGGGGACACACACACACATGCCCTACAGCCTTGACCTCCTGGGGGGACACACACATGCCCTGCAGCCCTGACCTCCAGGGGGACCCACACACATGCACTACAGCCCTGACCTCCTGGGGGACACACATGACCAACAGCCCTGACCTCCTGGGGGACTCACACACCAGGGCTGCCGTTCGTCGGAAATTGCTTCTGCTAGTGGGATGAAAGAAAACGGATACGGGTGGGGCCTTAATACCATATAATAAAAAGGGAAGAAATTGCCCATTTATATAAAAATTGGCCGGGTTTTGCACAAAATCAAATCTTAATATTAAAGGTCAATATGAGATGCACAGAAATTAAAAAAACCGGTTTAATATCAATGATCCCTTTCTTAAAAATAGTCTCTTTTCTTAATCCCCCAGAAAGCCCCAGATCTAATGATACCAAGAACATCATTGTCAGACTTGGTTAAATTAGTACCAAGGATATTTAATGGAACCCTTCAAGAGTTAAGGGATCATTGGCAAAGGCTATGTTCATTAAACAACAAGTTGTGGGTGGGGGAACACAGTGAGACCACCCAGATGGGATTTTTTTTTTAAATCTGCCCAATATCATGGACATTTTGAGTCCATTTGGAGGGCATGTGCACTTAATATTTGGAAATATTCTGAAGTCAATAATAATTACATTTTACTATGCAAAAACTCCTGAAGACAATATTACAAAACTGCTCCTGCATTGTGTTTTATTGGACGTGTTCATAGTACTCAAAATATTTTAGTTATACCTCATCATTTGAAGGTTTTCTACAAAGAACTGCTATTACTTTGAAGAATATGCGATGGGAAGAAGGTAATGTAAATACTGGATGGTCAAGACCGACCTACTGTGGTAACTCGTCCCTTATTCCTGTACTAATCTCAGAATGGAACGACGAGCCAGAGGTCAATATGGTAAGAAATATAGAAATAAGTGTTTCCATATCAAGATAGATTAAAGAAACTAAAATTGAATTCCCTAGAAAGACGAAGAGTGCGGGGAGATATGATAGAAGTATTTAAGTGGGTGAAAGGAATCAATAAAGGGGATATAGATAAAGTTCTTATAATATCCGAGCTGGGTAGGACTCATAGTAATGGATTTAAGTTGGATAAGTTTAGGTTTAGGAGGGAGATAGGAAGGAACTGGTTCACTAATAGGGTGGTGGACGAGTGGAACAAGCTTAGCAACTTGGTAGTAAGTGCTGGAATGATGGAAAGTTTTACATAAGAACATAAGAATGGAGGAAACTGCAGCGGGCCTATTGACCTATACTGGGCAGTCCCGTTTACACCCAACCCCTATTGCTCATATATCCATCCAACCTTTGTTTGAAGCTATCTAGTGT